AAAAAAATATTTTAACTTATGTTATCTGTCTAGTAAAAAAACATAGTTTTATCTAATAGCTAATTTCAAAAAAAAAAAAATAATATCCTTAATTTTAGCAAATTATCAAAGATAAATACAAAATATTTTAATTATAAAAACTTTTACAAACTATATTTATTTATCATTATTACTATTATTAAATTATTTTTATTTTATATAATAATATATTTTTAGACAGTTTGCATTTAATAAATTTAATAAATAAATAGAATTAAATTAATAGATTAACTTAGATAGATAGATAGATTAATTAGAAAACAGTTTTTTTCTAAAATTAACTATTAAAAGATTATTTTCAAACTGTAACGAAATTACTAAAATAAATTATAAATATAATTTAAATAATTTAAACTATTTAAATAATTTTTATAGATTTAAATATATTGTTTATTAATATATTATCACTTAAATTAAATTACAGTTTTTCAATTTTATAATTGAAAAATACATAACAATTACATAATTCTATTAAATAATTTACAACAATAACAATTACTAATACAATAAAAACTATAAAGATTGATTTTTCAAAAAATTTATATATTATATTGGATTAATTTATTTAAATAAAGCAAAAATGTGTATTTAAATATTTATTTTTAATGTATTTTAACTAAACTGTAAATTTTTATTTTTATTTTAATAAAATTAATAAACTTTTGTATTAATTTTCTAATAGTAACTGCAAAAAAACGGTTAAAATATTTTTTTGTAAACCATAATCTAAATCTAATAGAGTTTATGATTATATTAATTATTTAAAATAATATAATATTATTAATAAAACCTAAATAATTAACTATCTATACATGTTGCTAGGTAATAATCAAAACAATTTTTATATATTAAAAAATTTAAAATTTAATTTTTTTATTATTTAACGATATATAGTTTTAAATAATAATTAACTGTAATTTTTAATTAATAAATATTTTATTCATATAATATATCTAATTAGTAACTAAAGTTAGATATTAATCATTTTATTTCTTAATTAAAATTTATTTATTTGTAAACTTTTTTAAAACTATCAAATAACAATTTTTTTTTGTCTAAAAACAAATTTTAATATAATAATGATTTTAAAATTTAAAGTTTTTTATATTTGTTATATTTATTGATTTAAAAACATATTAAATTATATATTGAAAAAAATTGTTAAAAAAATTAGTGAATAATTAAATTTTTCAAAACTAAAAAATATTAACTGAAATAATCATAAAAATTATTAATATTTGTTAAAGTTATTGGTAACTAAATGCCAATTATAATAAAATTCAAAATAAAAAAATAAGACTTTTTGTACGCCTAACTTATTACTAGAAAATTGTTTTGTTATTTTTACAAAAATCTATATTAAAAGTAATTAAATTAAATAATTAATTGCTAAACAAAATAGTTACATAATATTAAAATTTTTTAATAGTTTTAAAAAATAATTAAATTCATTTTTTTTTTATTAATAATTCAAACTTATTAATATTATAGATTTTATATATATTATAAAATATATTATAATAATAATTAAATATTTTTATATTTGTAAATCAAATAATTTAAGTTAAGATGTTATTATTATTATTATTTATTAATTAAATGAATTAAAATACGGATTTTATTCAAATTTTTAATTAAAATTTTTATACAGATTTTTAAATACTTAATTTTTTAAATAGAGAAAAAAAATATTTTATTTATAAATAAATTTTAATCTAAATCTATAATAAAAACTGTAAATATTAAATGTTTTATAATATTATAAAATACAAATAATAGTAAAATTAAATAGATAGTATGTAAATGATAACATGTTTAATTTTAATTATTTTTTTAAGTGTGAATAATTATAATAATAATTTTATTAAAATTTTTTATTATTTAATTACTTGAAGTGTGCGCTCATGTATGTCATAACAATAATAGACAATACAGTAGACATCAATATATATATATAGGAAAACAAATAAATACTTTATACTGAGCTCTGCACTGGTATGTCAAACAAAAAAACAAAAAATATTTACTATTTAGTTATTAATTTTTATATACTATTATATAATTAATTAATAATTTTATTAAAATAAATTTATTTTTTTTTACAAAAAGTAAATAATTTAATTAAATATTTTATAGATTTTAATTGAAAAAATTAAATTCATTCTATATAAACCTAATATTAATAATTTAATAATAATTATATAATATATCAAATTTTTATTTAAATATTTACAGTTTTACTAATATTTTTATTTTTATTTTAAATTGGTAGCACTGTAATTAAATGCAACTAATTTACACTTATAACTAATATATTATTTTTTTTAATTAAAATTATTAATATTTATTTTTAAAATATAATAATTCTTTATATTGTAAACTATTTTATACAAAATTAGTACACAAAGTGATAGACAAAACTATACAAACAATAGGATTAAAATCTCTTTAATATTAAATACTTACAATTTTTAACTATACTTATTATATAATAAAAATCTAATATAAATATTTATTGTTTATAAAATTTATTTTTTACTTTTTATTTTAGAATTAAAAACAAGTTAGTTATTTTTTTTATATTTAAATAATAAATTAGAAAAAATTAAAAATTGATAAAATAAAAACACATGCTTTGTTTTGAACTAAATTTAAATATAATTTAATCATTAATTTATATAATTATAAATTTTATAATTTATGTAGAGCTTGTTATTTGATTGTTATTCAAAACTTAATATAATTACAGATTTTTGTTTCACAGTTAATATAAATATTTACAAAATATTTTATTTTAAAAGTAATAATTATATAAATAATTAGTAATTTTTATTTTATCATATAATTTCCAGTTAATATAAAATAATAAGTGTATAAATGACTCATAAAATTTTTTTTAACTTTAATTATATATTGATTTAGTTTACAGTTTGTTATTTATATGAATGAAAAGATTAATTATTTATTAAAATATAGAAATTTATTTATTGAACAAATAGATGAAAAAACTATAAACATTTTATTTCTAATTTTATCTACATTATTTATGATAAAAATTTATAATTACAATTAATAATATTTATTAAAAATTTTTTTTTAATTAAGAGTATTTTTTAATTGTAAGCAATTGGTATAAATTTAAATATGTTTAAGCTAAATTAGTTTTAATTTAATATTAATATTTAAATATTTTTTTAATTAAAGCAAATATATTATTATTATTATTATATTATTAGAGAGAGAGAGAGAGAGAGAGAGAGAGAGAGAGAGAGAGAGAGAGAGAGAGTAAAGTCAATTGTTTTGCAACTATTCAAGTGTCATAATCTACAGGTGTTTACTAATATTTATATTAATTTCATACACTTAAACAAAATCAAAAAAAAATATAATTTAAATTCAAATTATTTCATTTTAATAATAGATGATTACTTTTTTATAGATAATTTATTATTAATATATGTATTAAATAAAAAAAAATTATTTCACTGTTTACATAATTAATCAAATTTAGTCCTTAAAATTTTCAAGTATATAAGTCAAAGTTACACAATAAATGTCTTAATTATTTTTTTTAATATAATAAATAATATTGATACTATTTATTTTATTATTGTAAAAATAATAATAATAATGTTAGTTAACTTTAAGATAACAATATATTTATTTCATTATTAATCATTTAATTTTATTAAAACAATTTGAAATACTTGACTATAAACTTAACATATAGTTATATCATATAAAAATTTTATATATTATATTAATATTGATTATTAATATACAACTAATAATAATAATAATAAAATTAATATTATACAAAGTTAAAATTTAATATAATTATTTAAAACTAAAATGCAATTATATATTAAATTATTTGTTTACTCATAACAATAGTTGACAAACATATACTTACTGCTAGTTTGTGACAATTTTTTTCAATATAATAATATTTATTAATATATTAACTTTGAAATTAATTTAACAATTTTATCATTTCTTTAATCTGATTTAATATTTTTTTTTAGTAATAATTAGAAAAATAATTTACTAAATATATATATTTGCTTACATTGTTATATAATAAATAAATTGAATTTCATTAATTCTTATATTTAATTTTATTTTACTAAACTGTTTTACTAAACTGTATTGAAATTCATTAACAATAAATATTTATAATTATAATTAAGAATATTCATTAAAAATAATTTATAAATATATTTTTAATTTTAAAGTTTGCTTTAAAGTTTTTTACATTTTTTCATATATTTGTTTGTTTAAAAAATTAAATCGTATAATAATATTTAATAGTAAAAAATGTTAAAAAAATGAAAATGTTAAACAAATTATAACTAAATTATAATGTTGAATCAATAATATTTTTTTCTTAAAAAAATAATGAATATTTTATTATTGATTTAAAAAATAATTGAAAAAATATTAATAATAAATATTGTTTATAAGCAATATAAACTACAATTTATTTAAATCAATATAATTTAATAATTATATTACCTATAATTTCAATATAAACATAAGTTTACTTTCATTGATAATTTCAAGTACAAAAAAACTAATAGCTGAATAAATAATAATGAAATTCATGGTTAGTATTATTATAAGTTTTTTATTTAATAATATATCAAGAAAATACTAAGATAAAAATTATTATGTTGATTAAATAATGAAATTATTAATTATTATAAAATAATAACTTTTAACCAACTGAAATTCATAATAACAAAATTAAATAATTGTTTTTATTTTATTAAATATAGTATCTTATCTTGCTCGTAAACATTTTATAAAATAAAACTTTTTTTATTTAAAAAAATATAAACTAATATTTAACAATTTAATTAATATAAATAGATAAAATTAGATAAAAAACAATATTTGATAAAAAAAATTCTTAATAAAAAATCCTATAAAAAGAATAAAAATTATTCGAAAAAATATTTCTAATTAACTATAATTTTAAGATATTTTTATTATTTTCATTAATTATAATTAGTTTAGAACATGTCTAATATTCATAAGATTATTTTATTATTTTCATTAATAATTACAGGTAATTTTATCTAATTAAATTTTTAATTATTAATAAATTACTAAAAAAAATTATTTTGTTTTTTTATAAAAAAAATTAATTTAGTTGCAAATTGTTTGACTGACAATAATAATAATAATAATCAGGATGATGATCAATTAACTAAAGAAGAACTAATTCAGCATCTAGAAAATGATACTAGACTAATTAATAGTATAATTGGCGATTGGCAGCATAAAGGTTTCGATGATTTAACATTGAAATTGATTGAATTTCAACAAAAATTTATTAGCATAAAAAATAATGTCGAAATATTGCAAGTAACTGATCCAGATTATCAAATACAATTGTCGATCTATAATAAACAACGATTAGAATATGAACAACGAATGGAAAATGAAAATCTAGATGGTAATCGTAAAATTGGTCATTTCAATAAATTGCAACTAGAACAATTGTATTCGCAATTGAAATCAAAGCATTTGGATTATCTGAAACAATTAGAAACTAAAATCAAAACGATAAAAGATGAAAAGTTAGCTGAAATTGATCCTAACATATTGCTAGCAATGAACAATAATATGAAAACTGATATTGTTACTATCGAAAATTTAGATAAATTGTATGATGAATATATTTAATTTAAAAACTAATTAAATTAAATTCAAAATTATATATTTCTTAAAACCTGTATATTTTATTATATTCAATTTTTCTAATAATAAATATTTTATTAAGCACATGATAATTATAATGTTTCTTTATTTTTTATTAGTAATCATTAATATAAAATATATTAATTAGAAAATTAAAACAATTTGAAAAAATTTATAATAAAAGTTTATTTTTCTTTGTCTATCATTTGTATAGTATTAAAAAAATTGTTACTTGTTATTACAATACTATTCTTTAATTAATAATTGTTTATAAAAATAGTTTAAATCCAGGATAGACTATAAAAAATACTATAATATAACTATAATAATATTTATATGTTTTATAATTGATGAGTAATCTTTAAAATTTCAATAAAATAAGTTGATAAAAAAATCCAATCAAATCAATTAGCTATATATATAATAACATTTGTTTAACAATTGATACTATATTGAAATTACTAAAACACTCTAGAATAAAGTACTATATAAGATAATATTGAAATAGTTGTTTTTACAAAAAACAATTATTTATCAATTTATAATATTGAAATTACTAAAAACACTTAAAATTAAAGTATTAAATTAGATAATACTGAAATAGTTGTTTTTTTAATTACTCAATTATTTATCAATTTATAATATTGAAATTATTAATAAATTAATCTAATAATATTAAGACTATTAAATTAGATAATACTGAAATAGTTGTTTTTTTGTTAATTACTCAAACAATTATTTATCAATTTATAATATTGAAATTATTAATAAATTAATCTAATAATATTAAGACTATTAAATTAGATAATAGTGAAATAGTTTAGTTTTTTTAATAAATAAAATACATTTTAAAACTATTTTAGTGTTATCTTTATAATTTAATTAAGACTAAAATAAATATATAATTTAAAAAAAAAAATCTATATATAAAGCAATTTTTAAAAATAATAAAATTATTAATTATAAAAAATAATAGAATGTCTAATTATAAATTTATTTGGTTAACTTTGCTCGTTCTAATAGGTAAATTATAATGCAAAAAACAAAAAATAATTGAAATATACTGTTATTTTATAGGTTTATCGCAAACAACCTACATAAATTTAAAATGCTACGAGCTGGCTAAAATAACGAAAAATGATTTGCTTAACAATTTATCTGGGGCAATTGTTTTAGCAACTCAAACAAAAAATTCATGGTTGTCTAAAGGTTATAAAGGTTCAAATTATAATACTCTGGGGAAAGATATTGAAACACTACAGCAAATGAAATCAAGGGTAAGTGCAGCCGATCCGACTACACCCGATGGCCAGGAATGTATTGAAACAAATAACCAGGGTCTACAGGATATGCAAAAATCAATTCAATTGACTATAATCAATGGTAACCAAGAATTAGGCAAACAAAATCGTCAACACATTGATGAAATTTCCAATACGACTGCTGACTATCAAACTAAATTAACAAATTTTCTACAAAAAATACCAGAAAAAGATGAACTAGCTGAAAAATATGATACAAATTCAATTAAAACTCTATTAAAATCTATGATTGATTATTCAAATAAATTACTAGATATAATTGGAAATCTATAATTTTATTGATTCGACAACATCACTAACTTCGACAACAAATAATAATAATAAAATATCATTTAAAATAAGTTTAAAATTTTAAAATTATTAATATATTATATAATTTTTAACTTTAATAAAATTGCATTAAATTTATATTTGATTCTAGTATATTTATCTTAATTTATTATTATTATTAAATAATTATAATTAATACTAAAAGTAAAACAGTTACTGTATATTATACTATATATAAATATTAAATATCAATATATAATTTTTGATATTGATGTTTAGTTAAGTGTTTTGTTTTTTAATATGTATATTGAAATACATTTTGAGTATTAGATATCATTAATAGATAAATTTATAATAAAAAAAATAATAATTTTCTAATCGCAAAAAAACTATAAATATTGGTAGTATTAACATAGTTTTGCTATTAAATTCATATTTTTAGTTTACACTAACATTTTATTAAAAAGTAATTTTTAATGTAGAAAAAATGTTTTCTATTTTATTAATCATTCAATTAATAAATTGTTTTGTTGTTGTTGTGTTTAGTGAACAAAAATCTGTTCAAATTGAATACAATGAACTATCGTATAGTAAAGATAATAATCGTACGATTAGTTTAAAATGTTTATATAAATTAAATTCTGTTAACAATGTATTTAAAATTGAATTTGAATCTTCATATACATCAATTGGTTATATTGATTCTGAAGGTAGATATTTTTTTTTTAAATTATTAATATTTATATATAATTTAATTTAAAAAAAAATTAATATATAATTTAATTTAAAAAAAAATTAATATATAATTTAATATTTAAAAAAATATTAATAAATAATTTTATATTTGAAAAATAAATTAGTAATAAATAATTTTCTATCTTAAAAAAATAATTATTAATATATAATTTACTATTTTAAAAAATTTTATTAAAAATCAATCATCTAAAGGTCAATTATCTAAAGGAACATATCCTGGTATTTTGTTGTCTAGTCTAACTATGAAAGCAAACAATGAAATCAATTTTTCAATTGATTCTGATAAGTTTTTAGAGGATGAATTTTTATGCAGTGTAAGTGATATTGAAAAAAGTATACCATCGCCATCATCAAATAGAGTTAAAATTACTAAAAAAATCGGTAAATATTTTTTTTTAAAATTATTGTTATTTATATTAATTTATTTATATATTTTTATTGATATAGAAACTGTTGACTTGATTCCACAGTTTGGCAATAAATCTGACAAACAAAATTATACATTCAAATTTATGGATTGTCTAAAATTCCAATGTTCATTTAATTTAATTGATAAACAATTATTGACAATTAATTTTAATTTAAATGGTGAAGCATTTTATACGTATGATACTAAAAATAAAACAGGTAATATTTTGATAAATTTATTTAGTTTTTTTTAAAAAATTAATTAATTTAATTTTATATATTATTTTTTAAAAATATAATTAATTTTATTTATTAACTTTTTAAAAATATATTAATTTTATTTATTGTTTTTAAATAATTTAATTTAATTTATTTATTTTTAAAAAAATATAATTTATTATTTGTCTCTCTCTCTTTATATATATATGTATATAATTAGGTAAGCAAACATTAGATAAATATCATTCAAAAAATAGTATTCAACTATTGGAAAAACCTGAACAATTAATTAACGATAAATTGGAAATTGTTTTAAACAATTCAACCGAATCGGCTAAAGGTTATTATACATGCGATATTAATTTTAAAAATACTTTTGAAATTTTGGAAATAACTAAACACACATCTGATAAATTGTTAGTTAGTTATACTACTCCTAATCCTAATAATAATACTAATTTAATTGGTTTCAAAAATTATTATTATTTTATTAATAATTTACTAATAATAACAATTAGTTTGCTATATATAAATTATTTTTAACAAATTTTATTATATTTGTTTATTATATTTTTTTCTCATTAATTATCAATTGTTTTTTATCAATTAATTAATACTTAATATTCATGTCTAAATAAATAAAATAAAGTTTGTGTATTACATTCAATATTATCAACAAAATTGATTTTTTTTAATTAACTTTTATTATTAGGAATATTAAGTAATTATTAATATCTTAAATATATATATATATATATATTGTTTTAAGTCAACAATAGTTATATTATTTTATATTAATTTTTAATTTAATATTCAAATATATATTAAAACTTTATTAGAAAATATAAATAATTAATAATAATATTTTAGATAATAATTATTTAATATATATATATATTAATCAATACTTATTAATCATTTGATTTTTATTGTATACTCTATTATATATTTTTAAAATTTATCATGAAATTTCAATTATTGAAAAAATAAATTACAAAATATAATACAAAATTATTAGTATTTTAATATTTAATTTAATAAAATTTAGTATAAATTTCAAACTGATAAATAACTAATAATTAATTTAATTAAATAAATACTTAGCTATTATTTTTTAAGATAATTAGCAAATTGAAAACTTATTTAAATGTAATAGTTTCTAAAAAAATCAAAATTAAAAAATTTATCAAAAATATAATTATAGATTTGATAAAATATTTTACAAGAAAAGCAAATTAAACATAAAAGTAAACATTTAATTCAAATGAAATAATTAATGAATTAAATGTAAAAATATTTTATATACTCAAACTGTAATAAAAAAAAACATTACTAATAATATTTATATTTATTTATTTTATTATTTACTAAAAAAGCTAGACTGATATTAAGTTTTAATAATAATTTTATTTATTTTCCATATATTATTTATTAGTTGAATAAAAATTAATTATTAATTATAAAAATTTTATTGTTAAAAAAACAATTATAGCTATATATAAATATAAAAAAAAATCTTTAAATTTAAAATTAATAAAATATAAAAATATAAAAACAATCTTAATGCAAAATAGTAGCAATAGCAATATTTGAATTATGAAAACATTAGTATTTATTTATTAATAATTTAATTTTATTCGTATTTAATATATAAAACTGTAATAAAAATTACTAATTTATTATTTAATATTTATTATAAAATATTTTAATATATTAGTAGTTTAGTGATGGCTGTAGTTATTATAAAAAAATTTTTTTAAATAATTAATATTTTAATAGTTGAATAAATAAAAAATTAATAACAATTAAATGATTTAAACAAAATTATTGTTATATTTTATCTTAATTAAATATGTTTATCCTATGTATACACTGACAGTATATAATATTTAAATTATATTAATAAATATTAATTTGTTATTTTTAAAGTTTTCATATTTAAATAAATAAAAAACAAATAATTTATTAAGAAAATCTATTTTTTTAAATATTTTTATTATTATTAATTAATTATTTAAAATACAACAATTTATCAAAAATGTAATTATAGAAATTATAATTTGATTATTATCACATTAATTCACATTTATAATATTTATAATCTAAAAAAATAAATAAAATTAAACAAAATTATATTCCTATTAATCATTAAAATTAAAATAATATTAATATATAATATTAGAAACAAAAATTCTATTTAATAATATATTTAATAATATTAATTTTATTTTTAAAAAATTAATAGCAGTTAGTTTTATTATTATTACTACTACTCAACATTGTATTAATTATAATATTTTTTTGAAAAACCCATTACCAGTGTCTCCAAAATTTAATAATCAGATCCCGTCAGATACCGAAAGCTAATTGTCGGCTATAAGCGAGTTAGTGATGGTCTGTATGTGTCCAGCGGTTACTCACTCAGTGTATTTTGATGGCAACGATCGGAGCTCCGGGAGGGACAGCCTTCAGGACATAATCATCAGTTCAACTCAGACATACATTCACTGATCAAACGGCAGTGTCTGGCCATCAATGACTGTCCAACACGATGACGATGATGTCTATGTGTGTGTGTGTGTGTGTTTGTGGGGCACCGGTATCACCAAAAATTTATATTACACTAGGAATGTATAGACGGTATGTAATTATTATATTATTTTTAATCAATCAAAAATATAAATTAATAATAATATTTTTTGATATATAATTTTATTATCATTAAAATAAATAAGTTAAACTATAACAAACTAAAATTTATATATAAATAACTTATATTTAATAATTAGTTAAATCTAATAAAAAATATCGATTAATTAAATTTATATTAGTAATTTAGTTGCTATTTAAATAAGTTTAAAAAATAAATAAAATTTAATAAATTTAGAAAAAATTGTTTTATACGATAATATTAAAAATTAATAAGAAAATATTATGTTTTATATATAATACTGTAATATTTTATTAAAATTACTTAAAATAATTTTACATATTTTGGTTAATATTTTATTTAGTGAGACAAAATAGGGCTAAAATTTTTATGTATTTTTTTGTAAATATAGAAGTATATTATTTAAAAATAATTAATTTAATTATTTAAAAAAACTATTTATTTATAACTAATAAATTTAATAAATATATTGATTGTTTGCTAAATAATATTTAATTTTTATACATATTTACTTTAGTAATTTAAATTTTACTAATTTTATATTTTTAAACCCAGTTTTATTATTCTAACGGTTTGCTATTAATACTAAATGATCGGGAATTTTATATATGATATAATTTTTTTACTAGTAATTGAAATAAACAATATTAAACAATAGTTTTTAAAATAAATAAATTTTAGTTATAATTAATAAATAAATATATATATAATTGATGATAGTATTCAATTGGCATAACTAATGTAAATAATAATAATAATAATAATTTTTATGTAATATTTAACTTCTTTTTTGTTTGATTTATTTACACATTAAATAATTTTAATTTATATATATATATATATATATATATATATATATATATATATAGTATTTTATTGTTATATTAAATTAATTTATTAATAATTTTAATAATATTAAAACTGTAATATAATTTTTTTTATAAAATTATAATTCATAAATTTTTTAAATATTATATTTAATGGATCTAATTGTTTTTATATTTAACATTGTTTTGATTGATTTATTTACATATTAAATAATATTAATTTAATTTTTTTAAAAAATATATCTTTAGTATTTTATTTTGATAGCTAATTTGAAACTGTTGCATATTAATTAATTAGTTTATAAAATATATCATTATTTTATGAATATGTAAATTTGACAGAAATCGTCTCAAACAAAAAATTATTAAAATTATTAATTTTTTTTAAATCATTTAATAAAATTTTTATTATTTAATTTTATTTAGTTGAAATTGTAATTTAAATTTTTTGTGCCAAATATATACACAAATTTATATTATTATTTATAATATTTGTATTAAATTTGTTAAAATCAATTTCATTGTACTGTACAAAAAATTATAAATGTTAAATTTACATTTTTAAAAATAAATATTTATATAATTATTTGTTTAATTATTTTATTTACTCAATATTAATAATTTTTATTTAATAACTACTATATGTTTTTTGTATGTTTAAAATAACGTAATTAATTGTGAACTTTATATTTTATTATGATTTTGTGTTAATAATAGATGATAACATTCAATAATAATAATTATTATTATTATCAATTAAATTAGGTATATTTATTTTATATTAATAACACATAATTAATATTAATAATAATAAATTTTGTTGATAAAAATTTTGTGATTAAATTGTGATTACAATTATTTTTTATTTGAGTTAATATTTTTATTTTTTTTTGTTTATTTTATTAATAGTTATTGTTGTTTAATAAAGTTTCCCAAAACAATAGTAAAACAAGCAACAACAACAAGTCTAGTATCCAATTATATGTTAATAATAATAATAATAGATTAGTTATAATACATATAAAAATCTATTGTAACTATTTTTTTCTACGTTTACTTATAATAAGTTATGATATTTGATAGTCAGGTAAGTGTGTAATACATGCTATTTGTTGTAATATATATTTAAGATAATAATAATAAAAAAATTATTTTAAAAAATCATTAATTACAATAATTATTAATAATTTGTTTTTTATACAATATTATTATTATTTAATATAATTTTAGTTAAATAAAATTAGTTAGATATAAATTATTATTATTATTATTATTATTAGTCAATAAAATATTATAATAAAATTGATTATTATTATATATTTTTGTATTATATTAATATATTAGTACTGGTAGAAAAAAACTTGTGATAAATTGTTTAATACATTACATAACAATTGTATGTTTTGTTATTATAAATTAAATTTAAAAAATATATACAAATCTAATTTATGATAAAAATATTATTTTTATTTATTTTTCTATTAACAAACTGTAAGGTTTTATTTTGTGAATTTTAAGCCATTTTTAACTATTTTTTTCAAAAAAAATTATTTTTATTTATTCTCTCTATAACTTGAACTAAAATAATTTATAATTTTATTTTATTATATCTAAGAAAAAAATAATATTATTTATATATTAATAGTTTAGAATAAAAATTTAAATCTTTTATATTAAATTATTAAATATATATATATTTAATTTTTATTAAAATAACACTTGAAATCATAATATATTTATAAAAAAAATAATAATAATAATAAAACTGTAATATTATTAATAAAATTAGTTTTCATTTTAAGTAATTGTTTCAAATATCTATTTACTAGGTGTCATAGATATAATCCATTTAATATTATAATTAATTTATATTTATAAATATCGTTAAAATATTATTTAATTATTATTTTTTTAGATATCTGTAATATTGTTTGATAGCAGTTACTAATGGTAGACATACAATATAAACTTGCCTTTAATTGATTTTAAATTAAATTAAATTATTTTATTAAAAAAACTATGAATGTTATAAATTATATAATTTTAAATATACATTATGTATATTTTATTTTAGTAAATTTAAAAAAAATATATATATTATTTTTATATATAACGTATAAAAATTATTTACTAAATTATTTAATTTAATTTAAAAAAAATAAATAATAAACAAAATAATTCTATTAAAAATATTTTAGTAAATTTAATAAAAATACATATATTATACTAGTAATTATTATTTTTAAACTACAGTTTTTTAAATATATAAATTAAATTATTAATATTTAAATTTTATATTTAGAAATCAAATAATAAAAAAAATTATAATAAAAAAAATTAATTTACTTTATTTATTCTATGAAATTCAATTTTTTAAATAACTAAAATAAAATAAAAATAATAAATAATACATTTAATTATTATATTAAATATTAAATAAATAATTTATATGGTTTTTATTTAAATAACTGTAATATTATTAATAAATTAATTTAATATTTTAGGTAATTGTTTTAAAATAATTACTACTAGATTGAAACATATATGGAAATATAATATGATAAATATTTTTTATTTATTTTTAAAATAAATGTGTTTTTTGAGTGGTTTATAATTAATTGATTATTGTTCATATTTTATATTAAATTTTTAAAAAATTTATATAAACAAAAAATCAGCAGTTATTTAGATAATTTTAAAAAAGTATAACATTAATAGTTATAAATAAATTAAAATATTTATAGAATACTTAAAAATTCAATTATATAATTAATGTATTTTATTATTTGTTTGTTTTTTTTTGTTTAGTTCATATAAACTTTATGTTTAAAAAAATACTTAATTAGTATTTATTTTTAAAAAATAATTAGTAAATTATTTTAATTTTATTTATTAAATATTATTTGATAATGAATTTGATAGGAAAGGCATTGTATGATAGGACAGACATGTGATATACGGACAGTCCTATGACTGATCAATGGGCGGGCGATCGACACGACTGTCCCAACAAATACCGACTGATAATACCGACCGCTGAACACATCACTAAAAAATTTATTTTATTTTTTTGTTATTGAAATAATGTAACTTTTGTATTAAAATTATATATAAAATAATGTTTATATATATATAGTAATAATTTATTTATTGATATTGTAATTTAATAATTGTTTAATTATTTATGTTAATCTTAATTATCAAATGATAATTTTTTTCATCCAATAAGTTATAGATAAAATACAATATTAATTGTTGTTAATTATTAACTGTAATTGTTTTTTTTATAAATAAAAAAATTTAAATAAATAATTGAATTCAATTTTTTTTAATCTAAATTTGTGTACAGTATAGTTGTATTTAAATATTGATATAAAATTTTGTTATATATACATCTATTATTTTTTTATAATTTTAAAACTGTAATTTTTTAATAGACTAATAATTAATACAATTATATAAATTGTTTTAATTTTATAGTTTATTAAGTGATAAAAAAACGTTATGTTGAATGTATGAGTGATTCGCTCTCTCTCTCTCTCTCTCTCTCTCTCTCTCTCTCGGAGAGAGAGAGAGAGAGAGAGAGAGTATATACAGAGAGATATATACAGAAAAACAGTAGATTCAATACAACCAGTAGTTTGACAACCAGTTCATAGAAAATAGATTTTTTCAATTTTGTTCATTAATTCAGTTTATTTTTTTTGAAATACAATATTTATTTTTGTCTATTAGTATATAAGTGTATACATTGTTTTTATATTTTAAATAATAAATACTATATATATTTTATTTCAATAATTTAATATATATTTCATAAAATTATTATCTAATATATTATATAATATTACACTGTATTATAAACTAAAAATAATAATTATTTTATAATATATTATTGTTGTTGTTGTTATATAGTTTTGCCGATAATAATCGTATGGCCATTGAATCGGTGAATCACTTGCGGTGGAAATTATTTTCATTATATCTAAATAAAAAAAATTAAATAAAAACAGATTTATTAGTTAATTAGTTTATAATAATAATAATTAGATATAATGTTTGACTAATTTGGATATAATCTGTAGTTAATATCAATAGTTAAGTGTTCAGACAATTTGATTTCCATTTCAAGTC